TCATCAGTAAAAGTGATGAAGTATGAATAACCACCTCGTGCAGTTGTATTGAAAGGCCCGCACACATCACTATGAATGAGTGCCAGAAGATCACCAGCTCTTTCACCGTGTCCGGTGAAAGGAGATTTGGTCATCTTACCCAATAAACAAGATTCGCATGTGTCATATGATTCAAGATCAAATGACTCCAGCATTCCCGACCGATGTAGCTTGGATATGCGTTTCTCGTTTATATGGCCTAACCTACAATGCCATAGGTATGTTTGGTTCAAATCGTTCGGTTTGTTCCTCTTGGCTGATATGTTATAGACAGGCATGTCCAAGTCAAGGATATATAACCCATTGGTCATGTTGGCATTAGCATAGAAAACATTCTTTCTGTAAACGGAAAGGGACTTGTCTTTAATAGGAATGATGAAACCACTCTTATCAAGACATGAAACAGAAATAATGTTTCTGCTAATTGCAGGAACGTACAAGCAATCGTTTAATTCCAACATTAGACCACTAGGAAAGACTAAACTATAAGTTCCGATTGCCAAAGCTGCAACAGGTGCACCATTGCCGACTCGGAGTTCAATCTCGCCTCGAGCTAACCGTCTACTCTGCTTCAGTCCCTGCATGGTATATAGACATGTTAACTTCTATAACATACATCTCAGAAGAAATGGTCGTACCTTCCTTCTTCTTGGTTGCGAGGTATGTCTTGCAGTTTCTTCTCCAGTGGCCTGCCTTACCACAGTGATGACATTTGCCCTTTGCAACTCCTCCTATGGGTTTCTGGGTTGTAGATGAAGTGGACTTCGATTTAGGCTTTCCGACCGTCCTAGCCTTAATCTTAATCCCTTTCTTCGGCTTCCCCTTTCCGCCTTGGACCATAAGGACGGAAGCACCCTTGCCCTTAGTAAGGTTCTCCTCTGCAGTCTGGAGCCTTTTAAGAAGCTCCGGAAGGGGTTTGTCAAGATCATGCATCATGTAGTTCATGACAAAACCCTTATACAGCTCAGGGAGCGACTGCAGGATCAGGTCCGTTGCCAGCTCCTTCTGCAAGGAGAACCCGAGTTTCTCCAGATTGGTTATGTAACCAATCATTTTGAGAACGTGTGGACCGACCGGGTTCCCTGAAGAGAGCTTGCAACTAAAGAGAGCCTTATTCACGAGAAAACGTTCATGCCTGGATTGCCCCTGGTATAGCTGCCGCAAGGCCACGATCATCTCGTGGGCCTTCATGTCCTCGTTCTGTTTTTGCAGCTCGGGTATCATGGTAGCCAGCATGACACAGCTAACCTGGTTGTCATCCTTAACGTGTTTCTCGTAGGCATCTTTGACCGCTTTCGGGGCGTTAGCGGGAGGGGCAGGAGGAATGGGCTTTTCGAGAACATACTCTTTCTCATCCATGCGGAGAACAATGCAGAGATTGCGTTGCCAGTCAACAAAGTTTGTTCCGTTCAATTTATCTTTATCCAGAATGGAACGCAGGGCGAGGTTGTTTGTGTTGTTGTTTGCCATCTATAGAATTTTGCGAAGATAGTTATTATCATGAATTAAGTATCTAATAGGTCTTTATTAAATACTCTCCCACTATTTCTAACAAGTCAACTACCCTCAGGTACGGAACCTATTGACTTGGGGTTTCTATTTGAAGAATACCCTAGCGGGCCAAGATCCATATTTTATTTAACTATAGTTGTGCTTTGCATCTTGCCCTACAGTTAAATTATTT